TCTTCCCCCCTTGAAAGAGACAAGAACGCTCTCCCCCCTCTCAATATTTTCTTCAAGCCACTCCCTAACAGACCAGCTTCTCTCCAATACACAGATAAAAGTGAGATTGTGCTGCTGTACAGAGATGATGGCAGGATTTTCCCTCCCATTCCCACACTTGCTAATTTTCAGTCTGCTCCATCTCTGCTCATGTAGGAGTAGATGCTTATGATGTTTGGTATAACTCTCTGCTAGTTTATTTTACACTAAGGTCCCTTTATTTTTTCTTTCTCCCCCCCCTGCTAGGGAACCATTTCCATGCTCTGACCTCCAAGACTCACTTTAAATCCTCTTGCAAGGAAAGGCAAGCCACAGAACAGGGACTCGCAAGCAACTACAATTGTATCACAGGCTTCCATGTGACCTTAAAAGCCCACTCAGTCTCTGTCTCTCAGTTTGCCCAGCTGTAACATTAAGAGAATATGTTCCTCTCTTCCTCCCTTTAGTGTTTACCAAGTGCTCTGGGATCTGCATTTGGAAGAATAAAATATTATTACTGTATCCACATGGGGCCCTTATAGCTTTAAAAGGTTTTGTAGCAGCTTTTCCACCTTGCCTTTCTACTGCTCATGCCAGGCACAGCATCCAAACCTAACTATGTTGATTTTAACTAATCTCAGAGTAGAAGCAACTTTCTGCTTTTATTTCCCAACATTCAATTCCTCCCGATGCTGAGAATCAGCGCAGACTTTTACAGTCTCCAATTGTTGCTGGGGAAACAAGGATATTCAGATTCTCAGAACTGAGTCTGGCACAACACAGCATAGGCTGGCTGTTCAGCTCCAAGGCCCTCTCTGAAGTGGCTGTTGAACCCCACCAAGATTCAACCCATTGTGCTTTTCCATTTAGAGGTTGGAAATGCTCATCTTGTTCCACTAGCTGGGAGACAGAAGGTGAATGGAGGATCTACCAGGCCCCCCCTTCTCCCCAGCACATCCTGACCTGGCTGCCTAGGAACAGCCAGCCCTAGCCCTTCTCAGTCTTCCCAACTCCTATTCAGACCACCAGCAGATCCTCTGCTCTTCTAGAGGTAGCTTACAAGAAACCCCAGTCTGCTCAGAAGAGCAGCAGCAGCTGCCAGGGAACACACAGATGGACCTTCCCAGCACCCAAAAAGAAGCCACTATCACCTCATTCAGGGAATCTCTTAGGACCTTTCACCACTCCTGAACCAGGGCTCCAGGGGAGAGAAGTCCCTTCACCCACCTCCTTCCAGTGACAGGTCTCATGAGCTACTGGCAGAAAAGGTGGAGGAGAGGGGTTTACAAAATCCTGAATTCTGTTCAACTGACTTCATGTTGCCCAAAACCTTTTGTGTTCTGGTGCCCCATCATGAACTGGCCCCAATGATGCTCACCTCACTTTGCACACTTTCCATCTGCATCCTCCAAGTAAATGCTTTCATCTTCCTGAGCTCTCCCTCTGTTGCTCCCTTCTCTTATGTGGTCCTAATCTCAGCCCCCTACTCCTTTCTTCCAGCTTCTTGTCCTTCCCATCTTTGTTTCCCTTGCTCTCCCCACTTCCTTCCCTCATCCCTCGTTTCTCAATTCCACCTATACATGCAAGTAGACCTTCACAGCACAAACCTCATCAAGATAGATAAGGCACAACCTTATTGTTACCCATTTCTTCCCCCACCCACACCATTTCTGTCATGTTACGCTCATTTGTTCCTCTCGCCTATAATTAGGTTGTAAGCTCTTCAAGACCTTGTCTTGCTAGAGGGGGAAAAATGAAAGCAACAAACGGGTCTTTAAAAGGCAGCTTCATCTTGTCTGGTCCACAAAGGCATGGCAAATCTTCATCAAACATGCATGGTTATATGTTGGGTGGCACTATGGGTATGTCAATCCTGTAACAGGGAAGTGTCACTGCAGCAGGTGTCACCCTACCTATGCTATGATCCAGCTTGCTCAAGTGTTGAGAGTAATCATCTTATGCTGGCCTCGACTCCAGCATGCATTTGCCATCCAGAAATGTCTAAACTCAGGTCACGATTGCTTCTTTATTATGAGTACCTGAGCTAGGTTATGGCAGCACAGTTATGCCTGCCTGTGCCGAAACACACCTCCTAGGACCTAGGTGGAAGGTAGGGGCAGAATTAAGGTGTTTTGGGTACCCTGACTGTACAAATTAACTTGCTTGGATTCCTTTTAAGTTTAGCCTTAATGCTTGTTATTAGGATAATTACAACATTCCAGGAATAAT